AGAATTCCTTCTCCACCGGCTTACTGGATGCCGCTCCCCTCCTGAGGGAGCTGCTGCTGCTGTCACTCCCCCTCCCCCCCGGGGAAGCTGCGGCTGCCAGGGTGCTGGCCTCAGGCAATTTTTCTTCTTCCATGATGAGATCTTCCCCGAATCTTTGTCAGCCTATTCCTTTAGTTTAGGAACAGCGACTGGGGCCCGGGGCCCCTGAATGGTTTGAAAGGTTTGTGGATTTTGGCTTGATGTCATGGTTCCGAAAGAAGAAGCTCTTCAAAGAACTTTGAGGCATTGTTTCTTCTTCTTGTGCCATATCCGTTATCGGACATTGGTGATCATGTTGGCGATCCTGTTTTTATCAGCAGCCGCACGAAAAAGTGCTGCTGAGTTTTGTCCAAACCAGTCCCTTAGATTTTGAAGCCACGATGTTCTTCTTCTGCCTGGACCTCATTTGCCTTCAATCTTTCCCTGGAGGATTAAATGGAGTATGCCGTATTTTTCTGGGTGTCACATCACATGTCCGAAATATTCTAATTTTCGTTTTTTAATTGTTTTGATGATTTCCCTTGGCTTTCCCAGGCGGCTTATCACCTCATTTCTGATCTTGTCAACCCAGCTTATACGTAACAGCCGCCTGTAAATCCACATTTCAAATGCTTCTAGTTTCTTCAGGTGGCCTTCTGTCAGAGACCAACTCTCTACTCCATAGAGCAGGATAGAAAAAATATAGCATCTGACAAGCCTGATTTTCAGTCTTAGACTTATGTCGTGACTGCAGAAGACCTTTTTCATTTTGAAGAATGCTGTTCGAGCTTTTTCTATCCTTGTCTTTACTTCAACGGTCATGTCCCAGCTTTCATGTAAATTGGAACCGAGGTGTGTGATCCTTTCAACTTTTTCTAGTGGTATTCCTTCTGAATTTATTGGTGGTAAATTAACGGGTTGTTTGCTGACGACCATGATCTTGGTTTTTGAGGTGTTAAGCTTCAAGCTGTATTTTTGTTTACCTTAAAGAATCTTTAATTTGCAACATAGCTTCGGCACGTACATAGAGAAGCCAAAATCTGAATTCTCCTCCCCCAAACACACAGTATCAAAGCATAACTCACTCCTTCATTTAACAGTCATTAATGACATTCTCCAATTAGTTTGAAGTGTGAACTTTCCCTCCCGTTATCTCCTCTTATTACAACTAACCTTGAAGAATACTCTACTGAGATATTGTTATGGCTAACTAGTCCCCAGCACATTCTTCCCCCTCCCCTCCAGCACCATCTCTTTTAACTCTAAAAGTAATACACAGGTTAAATAGGAAATGTCTGCATCTTTATATATTGTCAAGCAAGAACATCCGATGTTAGCAGCATTGACACCTGCATTACAGGTCAAGGCTTGTGCTAGGCCTCCCAGGGCTTCCCCTACCCCTGAGGCACCCCAGGCTCCATTTAATGACCCCATTGGGAACGGGAGAAGTGGGGGTTGTTAAATGGAACAATCATGTGATTGCCTCGCTTAACGACCATTATGATTTGTGACCAAAATGGCAGGTTCTATAATGGGTAGGCTCTATTAAGGCCATGGGTCAAGGGCTACCTGTAAGGGCCTAAAGACCTGGCTCTGTTAGTTGGCCTGGGGTCCCAATAGAGGAACAGCGCAATGGAAGTGGTTCATTGAGTAACAACAGATCCCACCTCCCCCATTCTGCCCCTGCCCTCCCCACAGGTCCTTGGTTTTTAATTCTTGCTTTTAATTTATGTTTTAATGTGTGTATGTATATATGTATGTATATATATGTATGTGTGTGTGTATGTGTGTGTGTATACATAAATAAATTAAAAGCAAGAATTAAAAATCTATCTATCTATCTATCTGTATCTATCTATCTATCTATCTGTATCTATCTATCTATCTATCTATCTATCTATCTATCTATCTATCTATCTATCTATCTATCTATCTCTATCATCTATCTATCTATCTATCTATCTATCTATCTATCTATCTATCTATCTATCTATCTATCTATCTATCTATCTATCTATCTATCTATCTATCTATCTATCTATCTATCTATCTATCTATCTATCTATCTATCTATCTATCTATCTATCTAATCTATCTATCTATCTATCTATTGACTGTAAGCCACCCAGAGTCACCTTATGGTAAGATGGGCAGCCAATAAATTTTATAAACAAAAAATAAATAAATATGTAGTGAAGAATCTGCCTGCCAAAACAGGTTTTAGTGTCCTGGTTGCTACTTGCCTGTATGAGATACACAAAACACTTAAGTCATAACATGTTCAAGTCCCATGCATCTCCTCAACAGGTATATTGTCATATGCAAGTGTGACCTGCATGGTTTTGTCTTTATTGCACAATCGGCTGTGAATTGTATAGCAAGCATGTAAATGGTGACAGTGAGGATCTTCTACATAAATAAGTGTGAAATAAAGGGAAAAACAGGTTTTTAGGAGGGGGGACAGGATGGAAAGTCATGATGGGAATTGCTTTGGCAGCAAAAGGGTTTTTCAGATTAAATTCCCCCTCCTCTATACAATCTGTGATCCCTATAATTATCAGTCTTTCTTTCTTGAGGATAATAAGTGCATTTTTAAACCTGCAAACTTTCCCCCCCTCTCTTATGCAGGATATGCCCTTTTTTTCTCCCTGCTTTTTATATATTCTGGAATGATTGGGTTGGGAGTGGGTTATACTATAGATACCAAGCAAGATTATAAAGTTTAGCCACTATAAATCAGTTGAATTAGGGAAAATCTGTGTCTGAGAGCACTTTTAATAGCTTTTCTTCTGGCATTCTACTTTTGGATGAAGATGGATCTTATTTGGGGGAACCATTCCCATCTGGAACAGTAACAACTCTATTCCAGAGGTGTCCAGAGGTGGGAAGTAAAAAAAAAAAATCAAGATGGTAGCTAGAACGGTATGATTGAAACCCCATCCCTTTTTCACATATGCTGTGACAAACTTAAAAGGGGCAGGGCTTCAGTTCACATGTTTGTAACCACCATGTTGACTCTTTGACCACCCCGCCCCCCGGGGATACCTATGATGGACCACAGATTAATAAAACGAAGGAGAGGGCCTTGTACTCCTTAGTTCTGCTTCCTCAGATTATCCTTTATAAATAGGAAAAGCTAAGGGGGAATGATGATCTCTGCTGCTCATCCCTCTAACAATGCTGTGAGAGTCTGTAAGACAGTCCTTTTGAATCTTGGCCATTTTAAGATGGGTGAACTTCAACTCCCAGAATTCCCCAGCCAACAAGGAATTCTGGGAATTGAAGTCCACACATCTTAAAGCAGCCAAAATTGAGAAACGCTACTATAGGGTATAATTTCTGAAGTGCTAGACCACAGCCAGGAAAATCAGAGCTCAGACTGCTGCTTAGAGAGTGATACCATTAAAACAAAAAAGGGAGAGTCCCATTCCAACCAACTCTGGTTCCATCAAGAAACCCATCAAGATTATTCCATCAAGATGGAATAATCACATAACAAAAAAGGAGATAAAAATAGACATGAATTGACAAAATGTTATTAGGCTAATTGATTAGACTGACATGGACTGAAAAGACCATAATCCAAGGATTCATGAATCTCTAAACTTTAAACAGATATCCTGATCAGAAGGCAATTGTCTGCTAATAGTTTTCAATTCAGGTGGAGAGCATGGGGCAGCCCATTTCCAAATTTGCTGTCCCAGAGCTGTCCCCTTGATTGTAATGATAGCATCCAGGCCCAGTAGGATCCTCATACCTACACCACCTGCCTTGGTAACCTGTGTTCTGCAAGGTCTGGTGAAAGAAGAATTACATGTGGTATTGGAGGAGAGATTAATTTATGGTAATACTGGGAAGAAAGCAAGAATTCATTTGAAGCCCAGATGGAACCAAACCAGCCAAAGCACTGATCAATAGATAATTACAAATATTGTTTTGATTTAAATAATTATTACTTAAGGTTATTTTGGAATCAATTATTATACAGTACAGCTTCATTATAGAATATGGCATGGATTGTCACAGTTGGTGGTTTGAGATGCTGGTAAGGATGCAGGCTAAGGTCTAAAGTGAAGGAATAAGGTGTTTCCAGACAATGTTTTCAGTGGGCAATTATTCTGCCTTATTCATAGCATTTTAAAGGAGCAGAAATCAGGATGACCCTGTTTTCTATTTGTAAATTACTTTTTTAAAAAGCACTGAAAAAAGAATGAAAAGGAATGGTTACATTAATGCCTTTTGACTGGCTTTAGTAGGTCATCCCACTGGAAATATCTTCAATCAGATTTAGCAGTTTTATACAGCTAGTTAGCTGTTGTATCTAGTGACCTCTGCTGATCTAGGAACTGCCCTATAGCTATCTAAATAGCAGTATGGAAGGACTGAAACAGCACAAAAATTGGTTTTAGAAGGCCCCAATCTGCACAGCCATTGTTGAGAATTTCAGGACTGGAAATCCACACATTTGTAGTGTGCCAAAGGTGGGAATAGACACTAGTATTCAGGGGTGATTCCATAAACCAGCCTTTCTCAACAACCATCTTCCAATTGTATTGAGAATGCAACTTCTAAAGCATGCCAAATTGTAGGAAGACTGCTCTAAACCTCCACAAAGCGTGACTTCATATTAGTAAAAAGCTGTTTTAATTAAAACAAACTAAAAACAGAGTGCCCCAATTTGGACCATATAGCTAGCATCGCTGCAGCTGATGAGGAATTGGGAATGGAGGAGAAAAAGCTGCTTCTTCAGAAATCATGATTATGAAACCTCAAATTTTTAAATGCAGCCAACATTGGGGTAAATGGAGCAGATCTGAATCAGTGTAAAGTTATCAGTGAAGCATAGCAGAAAGTAGCTTCCCCCCCCCCCTCCACCCGTGTATGCTATTGAGATTGCCTGTAAGTCTTAACCAGAGTTGTATTTTGTTCATTCACTCACTTCTCTTATCTCTCTCCTTCCTTCCTGACAGCACTCCCCACAGGCTATGAGAAGTCCCACAGCCTGAACAGCATTGCTGGTCTACCTCCATCTCCAGCATCCCCTTCCTTTGGCTCACCTGGTTCCGTCCGACGTCCTCGCTCGCCCATCCCTTCCATACTCTAGAGACACACCAGGAATGCTTGGGGTTAGCTTATATGTTTGTTTCTTTAAAAAAAGAAGAAGGAAAAGGAAAAAGAAAAGGTAATGCCAAAAAATAGGGGGGGGGCAGAGTTAAAGGCAAAGAAAACACGATCTGCCAAATGCATTGGAACACACGAAATGCGGGAGACACCCATACAAGTGGTGTTGCACTAAATTTGCACTTTCTGGAGCATCCATGAGAATTCTGAGGCCTGAAGCCTTCAATCCCTGTAGCTTTGAATCAGGAGTACAGCTTAAGCATCTACTGCGGGAGGAAGGGTAAGGGATGGTTTGCTCTGAAAATCCAAACACTCTAAAAGCAGGAGAGGAGATGTGTCAAGGACAGACATTGCAGGAAAGAGCCCAAGGCCCTCCTGTCTGGATTCTCTGCATCCTTCCTTTCATCCACCTTACCAGACTGCACAGTTTTGTTCTCTGTTTTGTTCTCTGGCCCTGGCTTTGCAGTTTCTCTCTCTGTTTAATGCTCTTTCCCTTTTCATCATCTTACTCAGGACTTTAATGAGCCATAGAGTCTTCCTTCCTTCCTTCCTTTCCTTCTGTTTTGTGTCTCTCGGCCTGCACCTTGTTTTCTATGTTTGGTTTCTCTGTCCTTCCTATCTATCTCTGAACTTTTCCCACAGAAAAATCTATCTCTCTGTTAAATCTTTCCTCATGAATGTTTCCAGTCTCTCTATCTGTCTCTCTCTCTTAACTCTCCTTATTTCCTTAATAAGTGGTTCTGGTTCTTTAAACACATGGACCCTCCACCGTTCCTCCGAAGAAGGCCACCCACTCATCTGCCTTGGGTCTTCTGTCTTTCCTTGGAATTGTTCTTCTGTTCTGTGCATGGATCTTCCATCAATCACAAGCAATAAGGTCAGACTCTCCCTTCTGCCTGGATGCATGATAACGACTTTCCTATGATGTAGATAATCCAAGAATAACCAAGTTCCCACAGATGAAAGAGCTGAGGGTGAGCGCAGAGACCAGGATGGGGTCGGGGAGAAGGCAACTCCAGCATCTGACTAGGTTTGAAGGAGAAGCTAGAGAACCATCCTCCTTCTTTTGCCTCTCTCTCTCCTTTCTTCTCTTTTATTTGTTTCTTTTTCCACACACCGAAAAGGACAACGGAGCACTATTTGTTGAGGTGGGTGCTTTCACTGTGATTTTTTTCCTGTTTCCATCCAAAGTTGGGATGGGATGCTCTTTTGATCTGATTGCAAAAAAAAACAAAAAAACCAAGAGTGGGGAAAACAAAGAGATATGAGAACAACAACCAAGAGAATGCAGGAAAAAGAAATCTATTTTTCAATCGATAAAGAATACTTTAACCACAGAATCAGAGAATTTGTTGGCGACTGCACAGGGAAAGACACCTTCCCTATGTTTCTTCTGGAACAAGAAAATATAGGACATGTCACTGAGCACTTGAGTATGGGACACCTGGTTTTTTTCAAAGCAATGCTGCTGATACAGACAAAAAAACCCCGTAAGGAATAGTACCACCGAGCTAAACTATTTAGAATCTGCATTTTCCAAGCCAGCATGTATTTGCATGTAATACTGTAAGCGACAATATTTAATGTTATATGCAAAAGCAAATGAAAAAAAAATGACAAAAAAGAACTACAGAAAAGCAAAAAGAGGTATATTTTCCTTCAGGACTTGCAATCCCCTACAACAACAAACATCACCAAATTTAGCAAGTACCCCCTCCCCCTGACCTGTTTCCATCCTGCAAGGGGGTAAGAAGTGCTGCACATTGTAGGAGGTGGATGAATCCTAAAGGGCTTTTTCTTTCCCTGGGCACGTGTCATGGATGGCGATAAGATGCTGACAGAGCGAGCCCTTTGTCCTAGACTAGAGCAAAATCCAAGAGCCTCCTGTTTGTAAGAGAAAATGTCCATATGATCTGAAATAATGCAAGGGGGAAGAGTAGCTTATACTCATTGCTAATTCAAGTAGTAAATTCTAGAGGAAAGGACGGTGCGGGGGCAGCAAGGCTGGCATTTTTATTATGTGAACATTGAGGAAGTAGCTTGGAGGGAATATAAAAGGCAGGAATTTGAGCAAGCTGGGAATAAGACATTGAGAAATGCTGTACTATAATCCCTTGTACATAAAGGTGTTACCTTTAGCTGATATATATTTTAGCACAGGAATTCTGTTTCATCAGAGTGGTGTAATACTCAAAGCAGTGTGTTCCTTTTGTAGATGTTATCTTATTGGAGGCTACCAATCTTCAGTGCCTCAGCTTCCATTCAAAACCTGTTTTCCTAGCAATTAATTGTAGGAGAAAAATTAAGCACCTCAACCTGGTTCAAAAATATACACAACCAGACTGGTTACTTTTTTTTTTTTAAACGAGAGATAAGATTTGCAGATTTGCACAGCTCAAGTTTTCCAATGAATGCACTTTTGAGGAATGCAAAATACCATGTTTTGCAAGACTCTCAGGACCGAAGAGGGAACTGTTAGCAGCATGTTAGTTTCTTGGGTTTTTTTTAAAAAAAAGAATTTCTTAAGTCTACCCATCCTGTGGGAATTGGAGTTGACTGTACCAACAACATATGTCACAGGCAGGTTGATTACTTTGGCAGCAAAATATATCTGGCATGTTATCAGAGTATGAATTAAATGGGGAGATTTGTAACTGGAGCAACATGGCTCACTCCATAGGCCGTCTAAAAATGTAGCTTTCTAAGGCCAAATATCACAAGTAGCTGAAGCAATAGTTATCCCATTGTCATGCATTGTTCTGTTGCCTCCTGTTGGCAGGCTTTTCATTGACAGGCTACAGGCAACGAATGGCACAAACCAAGCTATTGTGAAATACAGTTAGTCAACAGTGATTGGACTATATTTTATGTTATTGGTCCATGTAAAATCTGTGAACATGACTAAATGCATCACACCATCTTTAGCATCTGAATGGCTTCTTAGCAAAGGGATAGCTATCTCCATTAAATAACCTTATGGTTAAAATAACCAGCACCAGTAGTTACATATCATTATGGTGGGTGCGTGTTCAGCTCTCAGAGAGCTAATAAATGATCTGACGGAGCCTCTAGAAGCACTTCTAGCATAGTTTTTTGTTTGGTCATACAGATGCTCTGCCTTTCCTTCTCTTCATAGCATTTCCAAACACCCTACAAAGTGTGATGGTACAATTTGTAATATTCAGTAGTAAAAAAATTAAAACATAAAGTGTTTTTCTTTTTTGTTAGTCGTATTAGGAGAAAAAAAACATTGTTTAGCTTAGAGCAGTGTTTTTTTAAACTTGGTCATTTTAATATGTTTGGACTCCAACTCCAAGAATTCCCCAGTCAGCAGATCTGGGAGTTGAAGTCCATATATAGTAAAGTTGCCTAGTTTGAAAAACTCTGGCTTAGAAGACCACGGATATACAAACTGGTTTTTCTCTCTAGCTAATGGCTACCACATATTAATAGCTCAAAGGGACTAACATAGTGAACAGTTGAGATAAAATGATGTTCACTTCTCTGACATGCCATCAGATCAAAAGAATTCATTATCTAGATTCTAGGTCTATGTTAATGTTATTATTTCAATTGAAACTTGAAAAGGCCTTGTTTTCTTGAAATATTGACCTAATGCCCAATCTACATCAGCATTCGTAAAAAAAAAAAAAAGTGCTAGTCTTCACTATCAGATTGGCAACAAGGATGATTAAAAAAAACTAAAAGTGAAAGGAGGCGAGATTGAAATATTTATGGACAGAAAACAAATGGAGACAATAAAGTATTTGAATATTGTCTCTGCTTAGTGAGATAACAAATATATAGACTTTTTTTCTCCTTTTTTATTGTTCCATAATACAAATTTGGAAGTCTTTAATAACACTCCCTCCTTCCTTCCTTTTTCCCTGAACTAGGAATTTCTATGTCTCTATGGGACAAAGATTCTTAAATTAGTGTAAAGAGACAGAAATGACTAAAAGTATATTTTGGCTTATTAAGCTATGTTTGTATGAGTGAAAAATATAGCGTGCATTTTTTCTTAGTCTGTTTTTTAAATTGTTCCCATTCACAATATTTTTTGACTGATCAAATTTATGGAAGGGTTTATAATGTAGGCAAGGTTGCTAAATTAGTTTGTGTGTGTGTGTGTGTGTGTGTGTGTGTGAATGTAACTTATTTTTATAACAATAAAATTGGTCTCCAATAGATATGAAGAATATCTCAAATTGATTTTGCAATAAAAAAATTAATATATATGAGATGCAGTGACAATTGGATGAATATCCATTAAACTCAAATGTAATAAAAACTGTTTGACCTTGCTTTGCAAATTTATACTTGCAAAATCTTCAGGCTTGTTCACTGATTTCCTTTCCTCTTCTTGCACATGAGGACCTCTTTAACCTATTTTTTGAAACTTATCATGGTTCCCCATTACATCTCAACTTGGAAATCACAGTTGTTCTAGATGGACTTTGTTAAAAGATGAATTTAGATGTGATAGGAAATTGTGGTTTGTTCAAAAACAAGGGATCAGAGCTCCCAGAATTTACAAGATAGAATGAGGAGAGAAAAGATGCAAATTTCATTGTACACAATATATTTTGTCATTCCAACTGAACCAGGCAGGGTATTGAAATAAAACATATTTAGGTGTATTTTCATAGCTTAGATAAATAAGCCTGTAATTTCTAAGTAAGAAAATACTAAATATGATCATCGAGTTTCTTCAATTTGTTCTTCATCCATAAAGTTATTGTTCCTACACTTGATATATGTCAATTATGTAACATAATAATTAAATTAAGTTTTTTGTTGAAATAGTTATTACTGTATTTTTAAACTCCCAGCATAATTTCTATCTCAGCATAATTAGAATCAGTAAATAATAAAGCAATCAAATTAAATTAATTGTCCTTCTTAGCAGATTAAAATCCCTCAGTTCAGAAAAAGCTATATAGCCAATTGAAACAAAATTGTCCTGAAAGCCAAAAAAGATGA